TTATTGCCTTACTGATGCCGATTGTAACTGTAACATCGCACATAAGATTATTTAATTTCAACTTAGTTCCATACTTCTAAGCTACTTATGAACATGATTTATTTAAGTCAAAGTTTATTAATTGGTAATTCAGAAACGTATTCATTAACATCAGTTTTAATAGTGCATGATACAGATAAATATATCAAGCTGGTTTTATCACATTTAGCAGCGAAAGTCCCCACTAGTTTTCTGCAGTTCAAAAGTTAATTTAGCTGGTAAAACTTCCTTCATTATGCGTAGCTGGCAAATACCGCGATCCAGAGTTGTCTTGGTAACAAACAGACAAGAAGTATTGGCAACCGATATAGGAAACTTGTTCCGGACATCTACCTGGACTCCTTGAGAAGTTTTTTCCAGCAAGACACTACAAATATCAGTTATACAGACCCCTTTTACGCAACTCAACCGCAGTGAGGAATTGCAGGCGCTGTCGGATGTCACTTCTCGTTATTGCGCATCTTTCTGCAATCAGTGATAGGAATGACTTTAGAAGTTTCAATTTAATTTATTCATAGAAGATCTCCGAGTGAAATTAAAGAATGATTTATGGGTTTAGGTTATAAATAAAGTATTGTTCACAAGCATCATTGAAAGATACTTTTTCCTATACTGAATATTTATGATTAACCTATATTCAGCATTCTATATAATTAATATAGCTAAATGCCTATTTATTCTTAGCTCAATTGAAAAACCATTGGTATATTGGCAAACTGGCATAAGCAAAAATTTAGTTGAATGGTAAAAAATATATTTTACTGCGTTTTCCAAAACAGATCTAACAGGAAAATTTTTTGGCAGAAAATTGTATTTTTTAATGGCTAGTGTATAATTGTATGTATAATGTGAATATAATTCAAAGCCAAGAGCCTGAAGTTAGTGACGGTCACAAAATTAAACTTCATTGCTTTTTCTAAACCAAGGTAAGTGCTTGACATGACGTGATTCAGCATGCCATTCTTTATTGACAATATGAAACGTTGGCGCCCTGTGCGTGTTCTAATTTTTCGTCTGTATTAGAGATAATTGGCGCAAGCCACTTATTAAAATGACTCATGCCTTAATTTTTCTAAATCCAAGGCAAAACCGAGTATTCATATATGAATGTTCGTGATTAATTCAAGTATTTTGAATGGCTCAACCGAGAAAAAAATAATATGATCGACACTAAAACAAATATTTTTACCTGAACGTGTTTCAATCATACATATGACACGTGTCATGCTTGATTTAAAAATCCAGCCGAAATTTGAATCCATAATATTAAAATGTGGGTATATTAACTGAACAGTTTAAAGACATTTAAGTTTGCCAAGAGAATATTTAGAAGTGTGTGGACAAATGGACTTGAAGGTGCGCATACACGAGTTTCCTTACCAGCTATTTTCGTATGCCTTTCTGGATGGAATACACGCAGTACAGTTGGGCATTTCCTGCCATGAGCAGATATTGAATACTGTAGGTCGTCGAGTGATTGACATGCGCAGAGTTTTGTGTCGAGCCCCGCGTGACTGTTTTTCCCGCTATGATGGTGGTCATGCTTAACATCAATCATGCCCCACGCAGCATCGCTGCTCAATATATACAAATTATGATCGAGTGTGGATTGTGAGGACGGCAGAAACGCGATGCATTTGTTTTTTAGGCGCAACTACTAATTTTACGAGTTCAAATTTAACCTATTCCGTATTTTTTTATATTTTTAAATCTATTATTTCGAAGAATTTGATATACCTGCTCCCAGATGTCAGGTCGATACGCATTAAAGTCACTCGAACGAATTATGTCAGGTTACCTATTTCAGTGGTAACCTGATTATTAGTGATGATCTTCTTAGGTTTATTGGAGTTGAGGGTCCAATCAAGGGTCGAATAAGAGGCAGGTTGATTGAGAGGCGAATTGTATAGTAATATATTTACGAACTAGATAGGAATACAAGGAAGCTTGGTAGTAAGTACACACGGTAGGTTTTAGATGGTTACTTTAACGACGGAGGCTACTCAACGCCGGAGTCTGGCGTGGTCCTACGGACTACATGATGATGGCTTACTACGTCTCGCCTGTGGCTGCCTAAGACTGACTGAAAGGTCCGCTCGGGGAGCTTACATAGGCATGCTATAGTGACGTCACGGAAGTGACGCAGTAAGTGCTAACACAAGTAAGGGAGTTACGGTAGACAACCTAACACGTCCCCTCCCTGGGAAAGATTCGTCCTCGGATCGATAATTTAAAAGTGAGGATTAATAGGTTGGATACCAATAGGGCTGGTACAAATCAAAGACTTAGTGTCTCTAAAGGAGATCCAACAGATGTCATAGATACATAGGATAACCTCATGTTATAACGGTATAACCTCATAATTAGCTAAGTGGGCTTTTATTACATAGCTATTGGCTTTTTAAAACCAAGTATTAATTTAAAAGACATTCCCTCCCCCTTTGGAGAAAATTTTTCCTACAATTTATTGCAGAAGTAAAACACTGAATACTTCAAGTTATAGGGAAAATTCCGATATCTTCGAAAACGAAATCCGCAGTGCATCATAAATCTCAAAGTAAGATTATAACACATACTAATAAGAATGAACGCGTTCATAGAATAATGGAAGAGATAGGAACAATCGAATCTTCCTAGAGAAATATTCTAAATTCACAATGAATAAGTAGAAACATATACTATGATTGATTTAACGCTAACACCGATGTACTTGAATTCTACATTAAATAAATGTAACAATTTCAGAACGCAATTATTATCGGTGAGCTTTCATCGAATCACAGAAAAAATTATTGATCACATAAAATACTGCATGAGAGAACAATATATCTGATGAAATGAACGCATCATTGAAATCAATATAAGTATCACTCTGTTCCAAGAAAATTTATTACATTGCCAATATAGATCCTAGCAAAGTGATAGACATTTTAAATTGAAAATCAGATAGCTATTACTATTAAGCTAATCGGGATGCATGCGCATCGTAATTCAAATGCGATTAATAACCACCTTTAGATGTAAAAGCAAAACACTATTCATAGCGCAATAAACATCAAACTTTCTGTAGTACGTAAATTTCGTAAAATTCGCTATAAGACATTTACAGATGTATTCAATATAATGAGAAAGTTTAATATAAATTAAAGCATCCTGCGTCGACATGTTAATATCACACGTGGGAAATAGTATAGTTGAACGGGAAACATTATTTGCATCAACCCTTCTACATTCGCAGTGCTTAAGTCAAATACAATTTTATATTTGAATTACAAATCTCATTATCATTAAACATTGTTTGAATGACAGCTAAAATCTGAGATACATACCGGTACTTCAGCAATTTCAACAAAAAGACGTTAGGTTTTAACTACGGTTCGTATTATTAGACATTCTTACTAATTCGTTTGCATAATTAACGTGAAGAACCTTAGGACTGCTAAGTACTCCGATCCAATGCACATAATTATTTTCATGATAACACATATATTAAAATTGCAATGGCCAGTAATCGCAACGAAATGATATAAGTAACGTAATTGCCGTTACAATACATTCCCACAAAAAAAAATCATTGGCTCAGTACACGCAGGTACAGGCGTCGTTGCAAGTAAAAAATGACATATGCTAAAAAAATTCATTTCTCGACCAATCAAAGGGAGAAAATATTAATTTAAATCAACCGAATTTGAAATCGCAACCCATCAATTGATTACTCACGCAGTTCAGACGAAAACATACATTGGGGACTAATAAAAAATAAGCATTCTCTAACCCCAAACACTTGACCAATGATCGTAAATAAAAAAGGATGAAATAAAAACTGATAAGTTAAGAACTATAATAACAAAGAAGAATAAATACAAGAAAACAAAACTATAAACCGTGTATCTTTCTAGCTCTTGACTATTAATTCCTCATCATGTTCTGGGTTCGGAGCCCCGCTGAAAAAGCACGAATAAATACAAATTAAAGACTTGAACTAATTTAACGCTAACAAATTAATATATAACACATGAATAATAACCTAATATAAATATTCAATTTCACCAGAAAAAACCACCACTACATAAATACGAAAGATCAACACGATAAACAATTCAGGCACTAACCTCTGTGGTGGATCACATAGCAATGACAAATAGGTAAACATTCATTTGCGAAGTCATCGGTGGTGAATCAAAACGGAAATGACAAATTTAACGAACCCTATTGTAATCCCTAACAACATTAACGTTACTGATGACATGGTAGAAAATTATATAGTAGAACATTCTACTACACTAAAATATCAAAAGACATTTGTATATCAACTCTAATACAAAGAACAGAAGCAATCAGAGTGAATCATTCTTTCTGCCGAAAATTTTTGATTTTTAACGGGGCATACGTAATCCGTAGACTTTATGAGTTATGGGTAATTCAACACGAATCGAATCTGAGGATTGACATTACAATATTGAATCATAACAATATTGAATCATGGTACAATATAAACTTCATTGAACATTGAGTAACTTGAAGCTACTACAGTACCACTCTCCTCTTTCTGTCCTAATAACAGAACATTTCATATTTAGTTTGTATATGTTCATTTGTGGAACTGGCAATCAAAGAGATAAATGATGCAATCGAATATTGGAAAATCATTAGCTTGACAATGATTTAATTGGCAATGGCATGATTAAACAAGATTGTAACCCTACATTAAGTACAAGGTTCATACAACGTTTACCAATCCTCCGTATTTCGAGTAATGACATTTAATAATTCAAAGCAAATACAATACTTACAAAGAATAATTCGCCCCGGTTCCAAATGCTGCAAGCTATGTGACTATGAGACCAATGACGCACAGCGGGTCATCCTGTGTACTCTTGTCCCAAGGCTCTTCTTATTCGGCGTCAGGAACACTAGCAGATTGACAGCTCGCTTATATTTCCTGAAAGACGTAGTACATTTTAGTATTTGAACATATACATTGTATATAGACAGTATGTAATAGCGGATAAGCATCAATACATGACAAATCAAGTAATTGTACGCTTGATGGAATGTAAAGTAAGATTACTTTAACAACAATACAAAGTATTGAATTTGATACAATTGAATTTCGATAGTTTTAACATGCATTTGAATGACTCACAATAAATATTATTATTGCTTATAATGCGTCATATTAGTTAGTCGTCATTTATTTTGTTGTGTACAATTACAACAATTACAACATCGACTTAACTTCGTTAAAAATCGTAGATCATTAAACGAACGTTAATTAAAGTTTACAAATTTAAGAAGCATTTACTACTTCGTTAAGTCATATTCAAATCTTTAATGAACAGTTGTTCGATTAAGTCGTACTTGAGTTAATCAAGAACTTTTGCTGTGCGCAAAAAATGATTAATGCAACATCGCATTATCGAAATGCAATCTGACAACATCGCATAATGCGATCTTTGAATAATACACTTTCTTACGCCTGTATTAATCTCTGATCACGAGTATATTACTGCGCAATCACACTCAATCTCTTGTTTTGCTGACACGACCACTTTAATTCGCTAACATGAGCAAAATAATCAACATTGAAACAGGATTAAATCCGATTGGATTTCTGAGACGCGACGGCGGGAGCTTGTTTTTGTAAACAATTTCCAAATGTGACCATGAACAGGAAAAATTTCTCACCACATCGCTGATTTGTATCATTACTTTTTAATTCAGTTCAGAAATCATTATGATGATAATAGCGAATGAAGGTCGTAAGATCGTAAGTGTTTAACGTGAGAATCTAACCTACACGTTTCCGTTTCGTTACCATAGAAATGGTTCGCTGAAATCTCATTCGTTACAATATTTTAGCAATATTATGAGATATTCTGGTTCTCACAGACTACAAAACCAGTTATTGTAATTCAATGCAATC